TTGAGGGGCTGTAGGGTCATGAGGGGCTGTAGGGTCATGAGAGCTGTAGGGTCATGAGGAGCTGTAGGGCCATGAAGGGCTATAGGGCCAAGAGGGGCTGTAGGGCCATGAGGGGCTGTAGGGCCATAAGGGGCTGTAGGGCCATGAGGAGCTATAGGGCCATGAGGAGCTATAGGGCCATGAGGAGCTATAGGGCCATGAGGAGCTGTAGGGCCATGGAGGGCTGCAGCCCATCATGAGCCTCCCCTCAGTGTCCTCTGCTCTGGGCCAAGCAAACCAAAGGATCTGAGCTACTCCTCACACATTTCACCCTCCAGACCCTTCCCCATCCCTGTAGCTCTCCTTTGAATGCTTTTTAACAGCTTTACGTCCACCCAAGCACTCCAGAAATGATCCAATGACCAAATCCGACTGTCACTGCGTTTCAAGCTGTTACCATCCATCAGCGAGAGCTCGGGTCAAATTCAACACTGAAACATCAAGACATGCCTCATCCCTTTCATGTCATTTATCCCGAGGCTTAATTTGGCTTCTTGTATTTTGAAGGGCGGATCCACTGTACTGAAGCTCCTCTTAGGGCTCCAAATCTACAGTCCATAATTTACAATCGTTCCAAATCAAACATAACTCCAGATGCATCTGCACCTCAGGGGGAAGGTCAGGTGCAGGAGCCCAACTAAGCTGATTTCTATCTTGGTTTGTGCTTAATGTCTTAAATTACAAGAATCTGAGTGACTCCTGCACTCAGAAGGACAGCACAACTTCTTCCTTCTCCCCTACTCAACACAGAATGGTTGAGCACAGCCATGGTATTACATGCTGATCTCTACCCAGTGCTGGATGAGCATCATGACATGCACGTGTCCCACGGTGCAGCACTGAGCCCAGGCTGGGTTCACGTGGCATGGATCATCCCACATTCATCACGCAGCTCATCCCCTGCTCCCACCCCATCACTCACCGCCCCACCGTGGAGCTACTCCAGCCCACTCCAGTGATAAATGGATGTAAAAATAGAGGAAAAGATGAAAGCAAGGGTGGAACCATTCTGAAGAGCAACTTAATGGATGGTTGAGAACCCAGCTCTTCTCAAGTCTCCGAGGACAATAAATACACTCACTCCCATGAAAAAGTGCCACCCCCTTATTACTGCTTCAAGCCTCATCAGCCCGAGAGCAGAGCAGTCAAATAATGAACTCCACGCGTTCATCAGACAGCTGTTTTAAGAAAGATTAGCTCTGGCAGCTGATGGCGTACACATTTTCCTGCAGACCTTTCACATTTTGTTCCTTTTCCAGCCAATGGGTCCCTTATATACCTTACCTGATGCGTATATCTATTTATAGGCAGCCTCTTATTTCTTACTTGTTACCAATGGCCATGCAAAGACAATCTTCATGGGGACTGTAAAGGCACCCACAGCACTTCTGCTGGATATTAGTATAGCCCAGCAGTCAGACTGTGTGCTCAAGTTGAAATGTGGTGTGGCATACATTATCACAGGGCTGGAGAACCATGTCTCACCCTCGTTAGTGCAGAAGGCCATCAACGATGCCATCTGATCCTATGAAAATGGGAAGACTTTCATTAAATGCTACGTTTAACCATGGCAACTGATGCTAACAGCTGCTCAAGGGCTACCCTTGTGCTTTGGTGTTGTGTAGTTGTGCTCCTGGGGCACTCAGGTCCCTCTGCTTCCCAAGGCCCACCCAGAGCAGTTTGCTCAGCATCAGTAATTTCATAAGGTCCAATTTATCTACAAGCTACTGGGCCAAACAAAACGATTCCCACTTCCATGTCCACCTCAGTTGGCTTCCCACCCGTGCCCACCGATGCTGGTTGATGGTTGGACTCGATGATCTCAGAGCTCTTTTCCAATCTGAATGCTTCTGTGATGCTAAGCAAAAACAAAGCAACAGCCAGAAACATCCCAGGGCTCACTGCAGCTGTCTGGGTTCAGGAAGCTTTCGTACGAGCAAAACTCATCTTGAAAACCAACAGCAACTGTCTGAAAATATTAGTAAGACGGTTTGATGGTTGAAGTCACATTCTATAAATAAAGCACAGAGACAGAACTTGACAGACTGTCGATCAATATAACTTCTGGGCACAAGACATGTGTCATATCCCCTCCTATGTTTAGACAAGAAGGTTTTGAGAACTGCTGAGGTCAGGCAGTATTAATGCTCCTTGCCATTATTTACTCCGTCCTCTAGATTTCAAGCATGCAGAACGCAAATAGCATGGGATCACAGAATGGTTTGAGTTGGAAGGGACCCTTAAAGGCCATCTGTCCCAATCCCTGTAATGAACACAGACCCCCACTGCTCCATCAGTGCTCAGAGCCCCATCCAGCCTATCAAGACTGGGACAGAGCACACACAAGTGTTCGTACTGGACCAAACCAAAGGGCTGCCTTGTCCCTGTCCTGCCTCTGATAGCAGCACAAACTATGTTCAGGATGCCTGGGTAGGAGATCAAGAAAGATGAAATGTTTATGATTCCCTCCAGTGCTCTTGAAGCCTCCAGATATCTGCAGCCTGGGCAGTTCCTGCACTAGATATTGCATCCATTGCACCCATTTATTAATCACTGTTCACAATTTATCATTTATTGTTATTTATTATCACTTGTTTCTTGATAGAATTCTCTTCTACCATCTCCTCATGTCTCCTCTTGAACTACAGAAGCTTTCATGGGGTGAACTGAACTACAAGGTGATGGGCTGCTGCAGCATGGCTTCTGCAGAGGCAATTGCACAGATCCAGAGCAACAAGTTCAAGTCAGGTTATGGTCAGAAAAGAGACTGTGTTGAATTTCTTTTCCTTCTGAAAAAACTTTTGCTTCCCGTGAGTATTCAAAATCACATCTGCTCCCTCCACCTGCAGAAAATGCCTTTCACTCTTGCTTGCTTACAGATGTGATACGATTCAGGCCAAGCAAACTCCATTCATGCATCTTTAATGGAGTAATTACTGCCGTGCTGAATGCTGAATATGTATTTCTTTATCTGAGTGTGTGATGCCCATCTCTCCTCATGCCATACTGCTGGAACCGTCCCCATCCCACATATCAGCCCCCAGGTTCCACCCTGCCATCTACTGATGCTCACTGCTGTGCTGACATAAGCAGTGCAGCCAGATGATGCTGGAAGGAAAGAAACCAGCAGCAAGCCCAGATCTGGGGATGGGCACATCAAGAGGAGGTTGGTTGGGACACACTGGGAGGATGGTTGGACTAGACGATCTCGTAGAACCTTGTGGTTCTATGATTCTATTCTATGATTCTATTCTATGATTCTACTCTATGATTCTGTGAAGACGAAGAAGTTGCCCTGGCTCTGTGTGTGCAGCAGCACAGAAGTGCAAGTGCTGCTCAGTAATGAATTCTTGCTGCAATCCCAGGCAGGGCAGGAGTGGCAGAAGCTCCCAGTCCCCTTCTGCTCCAGCAGGCAGGAGAGTTTCTATGGCAACTCTGGATGGGGTGGCAAGGATGTTGTCCCTGTCCATTGCAGGGAGTGGGACCAGATGGCCTTTAAGGGTCCCTTCCAACTCAGACCACCCTGCCATTCCATGACCCATGGGACCTGGTCCCATTGGCAGAGCCCAATGTAGTGGCCAGAAACAGGAGCAGCATCCTTCATCCGAAATCTTACAAAGCACCTGCTTTGACAAGAGGGGCAAACAGAAAGCCACCGATGTGGCCACACAATACTTGGAGCTTTTCTTACTCAAACAACCTTCATTAATCAGCTGGGTTGGGACTGATTTAGTGGTCATGGTGGGGTGGGTTGGGGCTGGACATGGTGATCTGAGAGGTCTTTTCCATCCTTAATGGCTCTGTGATTCTGTGATCCTGCCTTCTGAGCAGCACTGCAGGCATGGGCATCCCCAGAGAACGACATGAGGGTGAAAGCAACAAGAAATGCCCAGTCATTAAGTTGCATTTAAGTCTCTCCTAGTGCATGAGCAGTGTCGTGCTTCCTCTCTCTGCTATTCTGGCACTGGCATCACCCTCCTTTCACTGGATTTACACATTTACCCATGGTCTCTGGGAAAAGTGAACTTGCTATTGCAATTAATTCTTCTAATAGACAATTATAAGGTTACGAAAACAGATGACTACCAAAAAAAGGCTGTTTCTTCAGATTTACAGGACCACAGAACCATAGAACATCACAAGTTGGAAGGAACTCACAAGGGTCAGGTTGGATACTAGGGAAAATTTCTTCTCTGAAAAGTGGTGATGCGTTGCACAGGTTGCCCAGACAGGTGGTGGGGTCACCATCCCTGGAGGTATTCCAGAACCATGGAGATGTATGGATGTGGTCAATGGGCAGGGTGGGCTGGGCTGGGGTTGGGCTTGGGGATCTGAGAGGTCTTTCCAAGGCACAGCCTTTCCCTCACCCCCACCCGACCCCCTCACAGGATGGGTCCCAGCTCTATGCACAGACAGAAGTGAAAATATTTTGAGTTTGCAAGAAGAGGCCAAGCGTGAGCTGAACTCCAATTTAGGGTTCACCACACCCTTGATTAATTTTGAAATGGTAATTAAAACACCCATATGGTATTTCGGACATTTGGACGTGGCCCAACTCAGAGGAGTTGCTCTCAGATGCATCAGCTCTCCACAAACACAGCAGCAGATGGAGCACACGCGGAGTATTAGCAAAAACCAGTTTCTGGGTGTGAAAAGGCATAAATGGGTCTCTCGTATGTATTGGGGCCAGGAGATGAGGCTGAAATGGTGCTGGAGGGGAGCACGGAGTAATATTTGAACTGGCAAAGCTGTGTTGCGGTGTTGAGAAAAAGAGGTCCTGCAAAAATAGAATTGTACAGATTTCATCCCCCACCAGGAGACCTCCATCAGAACCCACAGCCCAGGGGGAGCAGCCTGGAGACGCCTTAGCAAAGCGCCACTTCCATTGCCTTGCCATGAAACAATGATTTCTACGACGGCCCGACTTGGAAAAGCAATTACAGCTAATTAAGTAGATTACATTTTACGGTTGAGGTGTGCTCCCTTGTTTGCAATGAGACAGATTTGTGGCAGCTCCGCTTCTGTTTGTTTCTGACATGTTGAGGCAGTCAGGCTTGCTTGGAAAATCCCAAACCTGTCGTGGTGTCACTCAGCTGTAACATCTTGTGCAGATCTGTGGAGCATTGGATGGATGGCAGTGGTAGAGATGCAAAGAAGCATTCCCTCCATCACGGCACACCTACAGGATGCAGGGCACGGGTTGGGCTGGGAGAAGCTACCTGATCAAACAGAAGTCCTAAAAGCTCAGGGATCAGCCCAGTGCTTGGCTGAAATCAGGAAACTGCAGCCCTCAGACCTTCAGCTGCACAAAGAGGGAGCTCCAGTGGGTTGCTGGTTGGGAGATGGAGGGTAGGAGTAAAGATGAAGTGCAAAGCACTTCTTTAGGGATTTCTCAGCTGGAGATGGCAGTGAGGAGGTGCAGAACTTCCCAATGCACGCCTAGGACCTCATCAGCAGGCCTGGAATCATAGAATGATAGAATGGCCTGGGTTGCAAAGGAGCACAATGCTCATCCAGTTCCAACCCCCTGCTATGTGCAGGTCACCAACCAGCAGCCCAGGCTGCCCAGAGCCACATCCAGCCTGGCCTTGAATGCCTGCAGGGATGGGGCATCCACAGCCTCCTTGGGCAACCTGTTCCACTGCCTCACCACCCTCTGGATGAAAAACTTCCTCCTCATATCCAACCTAAACCTCCCCTGTCTCACTTTAAAGCCATTCCCCCTTGTCCTGTCACCATCCACCCTCACAACCAGCCGTTCCCCCTCCTGTTTCTCTGCTCTCTTCAAGGCCACAATGAATTCTCCTTGGAGCCTTCTCTTCTCCAAGCTAGAAAGCCCCTTCATGAAACAAGGGCTGCAGTCCTTGAGATTTCAGTAACGCATCTGGAAATATTTATATTGTTAGAAACCCAACAAACTCTCCTAAAATACATAATAAATGTGCAGATGCTGCAGAGGTGGTCGACGTGGACCCACAATGCACAGAAACCCACAGTTCAGACTGAAAACACAGTGTAGATTCCACAATAGATCACAGCACAGTTGGGTTGGAAGGGACCTTCAAGCCCCTCAGCCCCATCCCTGCCATGGCTCCTCCATGAGCTCATTTCTCCCAAGGATTCTCATTGTCCCTCCAACCCAGAGGCTGTCCCTCCAACCTCTCCCAACACAACTCGCAACACACACAACGGGCTCCTTGTGTTGCTCTGAGTAATTTCAGAAGGGCATACAATGTTTAGGGAAGATTTGGTGACTGTATTTTAGCAGCCATGGAGGATTTGGGGATTGTGTGTCGTGCTCCTGATAACTCCCTTTGATAACTCAACCCAGAAGCTGGATTGTTAAGAATGTTGGGGACTTTGTAAATCCATCAGGAGCCGTAGGGCTGTGGGTAGAAAGCCCAGCATGAAAACTTCTATCAGCTCGCCTGGGAACCTGCACAGAGCCACCAGTCCCCTCCTGGAACTGCATATCGTAGCAATGGACTCGGGTGGAAACTGGGATGGAAAACAAAAGTCCTTCTGAAGTTTGTGATGGAAAAAGCATTATGTTGCACGACATGAAAACCCAACGCTTCGCCTCCTCCTGTATTGTGAACAGCTTAATGAGCTCAGGAAAAGGGAGACAACTTATGTCTTCTGATTGGAAACAGCAGCAAAACCCAAGGGTTTAAATGAGGAGCACTAGAAATGGAAAAAGAGCTATCCAGAGGAATTGCTCAGTGCTATTAAACACTGTGACTAGAGAAGCCACCAGCTGAAAGCTGTTACTAATTCATCACGCCAGAAGATACTCCACAAGAGCTAATTGGAGGCACTTGAAACTGAAAAAATAGCAATAAATCTGCATAATTACCAATTTTTCCCACAACTCTTGCAGAACGCTCTGGGGGAAAGGTCTCCTTCCTAAGAAATGCCCATTGAAGCGTTAGGGGTGGGTTCACATGCCAGGAATTCCTCACTGTGCCTACACTGCTTTTGGCATCAACCTGTGAAATGGAAATTCTGCACCGCCTTCAAGAGGGGCTGAGTGAAGTCCATGTGATGAGCAACCAAAACTCCAGACAGCCCCCTGCTTTGTCTTCAGCATGTGTAAGATGATCTTGGTGGTCTGTTCCGACTTCGATGGTTCTAGGCAAGTGGGAAGGAGAACACACAGCACACACTGCTTTATTTTAACGTGGCTGTTTGCAAAGCTGTATGCAGAGAATGTATGACATGAAATACCCCGTGACCCTTCCTTGTTTCTCAACTGTCTTGATGGGTTCACACGCTGCAGGGAGGCACTGTGCTGTTCTCCTGGCTCCCATGGGGTCCCATGGTGATGCACGATGTTGGATGCAGGGAGCCAGACTGCAGGAGCTGCCACGTGAAGCAGGTTTGCTGTCTTGCAGTGATAAGCGTGGAGTGGGGCTGAGATGTGGCAATGGGCAGTGAGGCTGCTGGTGGAGCAAGTGGTGACAGGGCATGAGGGTCAGCAAGGTGATGTCCCAGCAGGACCAACATGGCATGGTGGGCATGGCTTGATGGTTGGACTAAATGGTCTTAGTGGTCTCTTCCAACCTTAATGATTCTGTGATTGTAGCACAGGATGCAGGAGGTTTGGCTCTGCTGGTGTCCATCCCCTGGTTTGGAACCATTCTTGCTTGATGCATTTTTGGAAGGATGAGCAGCAGAGGCAATATCTTGGATTGGTGTTCATTAGCAAAGCTAATGAGTGAGAGGCACTATGGTTGGTGATATTTTGGATGTGATGATGACACGTTGGACGTGCTTGATGACATCCTGGATGTGCTTGGGGACCCTTTCCTTTCGAGTTCTGCAGGCTACAGCTCAGTCAAACGACAGCAGGTAGCTGGGCAGCCAGTGCTCGTGCAGCCTGGTTCGATGCTAATGAACTTCCGTAGATTTACAAGTGCAAAATCAATGTGTTGCAATTAATTTATACTGAGTCATCATCTCCCTGCAATATCTCCTTGCAGCGAGCAATGGTGGGGAAAACTGAATAATAGCTTCATTTTCCAGGTGGAACAAAAATATGCTGCCCCTGTCTTCCCATAGCAGCAATGAGTCAAATCCAAGCTTTTGTCCCCAGATAAAAGGAGACGTAGAGCAAAACTCTGAGATCCAAAATGCAGTGGATGTTAGCAGGAGTCCTCAGGATTCAAAACGGGCACTGAGAATCCATCTGGAGGTTACCAGCACTGCCCTCGTACTCTGAAACATCTCAGAGAAATGTCATCAGTTCCTATATGTGCTCATCCATAGGACAGCCAAAAAAAAAAAAAAAAAAAAAAAGTGCTCTTTTTGGTGTAAAAATGAAAATTCTCAAACTTGAAATTGTATTTCTCTCTACTACAAATTTCAAGTTAAGGAAATGGTGAAATTGCCCACCAAGTCATCCACCCAGGAATTCTGTGAACATAAAGGATGCTGGGGACTCTGAGAATGGTTTTCAAAATTGAAACAACCAACAGCAAAGAAATTCAGAACGGAGTCCCTTCTACAACCATTAGGAACTTCATCATGCAGCTTTCTGCTTGGAAAAGCAATGATGCTATAAATCCCAGCTTGGTGTAAGAGGAAACTCTGTGTAAATGCCATCTTAGCTACTATTAGATTAATGTCAACCGGGTCATCCATCCCACAGCAGGACAAGTCACAGGGAGACATCTCTCTAAAAATCAGACATAGCAGCTGTGTTTGGTCCCATCTCCCTTTGGCCTGTGGCTTCCAACAATGTCATTTTGGAAGTCAGGCTGGTGGTGGCTCATTGTTGTACTTAGGAAGGCTTATATTGGACATGAGGGAGGAGTGCTTCATGGAAAGGCATTGGCATGGGCTGCCAAGGGAGCAGGGGGGTCACCATCCCTGGAGGTGTTCAGGAGCCATGGGGATGTGGCACTGAGGGATGTGGCCAGTAGGCATGGTGGGGTGGGGTTGGGCTTGGGGATCTTGGAGGTCTTTTCCAGACTTTATGATTCTGTGATTCTATCACTCTACGGGAAAGATGAACAAGCCCAAGGTCTTAGCAATCCCACTGGATGAATTCCCACCAACCCTTCTCCTCCCATTCTAATGAGATTTCTTTTTAGCTCTGCCAGACGTGGCCACGTCCTTGGTAAGCCATGATGGACCCATCACACAGGGGCAGAGGGTCTACACCCATGGTAACAACCATAACCCAAAATCCTCCATCTGAGAATAAAGAGCATTAAAAATAAAGACTGACACTTTCCTTAAAAAAAAAAAAAAAAAGTTTCTTCAAGACAGACTTTCCCTTCTGCAACCATTCACACGGAATCCATCACCATCTGCACCTCCTCAACTTGCTGATGGTGTATTCCCCTTCTCGTCTGCAGCCTTGAAATGGAGCAAGGGAAACAATGAGGTGAAAAGAGCCATCTATCTGCCAGTTTTATGCACACGTTTGCATGGATTTATGTATTTCTGGCACTGCTGGACCACTTTCCTCCATTGTCCAACCCAGCGCCCTTGGCATCTTCAGGGCAACCCCAGCACTTTTGTCTGGGTACAGCAGGAGGGACTGCCTGGCTTTAGCTGCTCAAGAGCCTTTGGGAGCTGCAAGGTCAAAACCTGTGTGCAAACTGTCCTTCATACTCCAGCTGTGAAATGCAAAGTCCCCCTGCAACGTGGTTCCAAGGCAAGGATGCTCGTAAAGATACACGAAGCCCCTCCACTAGGCTGACTTGCAAATGTCAAGGAGAAGCAATGACCCACGGCCAGTTTGTCACTGTCACAGCTCTGGTTGAGTGAGTTTTAACGCTTCCCCCGAGCGACCTCCTGCCAAAGCACAATGAAAAAAGCAGGAAGACAATCATCTCTTTATGCAGGAGATTTTCTCCCTATCAAAAATAGACTAACGCGTAATACCTTAAGAGTTTTAATCTAAAATAGATTTCCGAAGGGCTCCATCAGTCACAATTAAAGATGCTTTTAATGACCCGAAATCGGAAGCAAAGCTTTATAGCAGAATATCTGGTGCAAAAGGAGATTTTTGTTCCAATTAACCTGAATTATGGAGCCACAAAATGGCACGGCACAACCTCGCCAGGCACACGAACAGCCTTTGGGTGCACACTGGCTCTATTTAATGTCAGAAACATACCAGAATGAAAATTATCGTGTACAAGACCATATGTTATATATTCACATTTCAGAGACTACTCACATATGTTCTCTAAAGTCACTGAAAAGGTTTAGTAATTACAAAATAATATCAGAGGTGCTTTGTCATGTCATGGATTACAAGAGATACAGGATGAGTTCAGTGTACAATCTCCAGTAGCCTGAAAAATGGAGAAGAAGACATTTGTGAGAATAGCTGTGGGGAACTTCTCTGTCCTGATGATCAGGGACAACAGTCCAACCCCAAGGAGACACATCTACACGTTCACGTGGTAACTGTAGATCCATATTTCTTTGCCTCTTCCAAGCATACCATTTCCATGACTCTATCATTGCTTTTCCTCCTCCTCAGCTCCTAAA